GGAAGTGCTTGACGAGAGGTCACAAGTCCAGGCCCAGTGACCAGTCCTAACTCACTGGGAACTTTCACTGAGGACAAAACAGCATTTTACCAAAGAGGCTCTCGCATCCCTCACCAAAAGGAACATCTGTCTCCCATGTGACTGCGCTGCCCCCAGGCGGGCTTTACGCCACTCTCCACGGCTCCAGCTCCAGGTACAAGCTGAGGATCTGGACACTAGGTCACTCGAGAGTACGGACAAGCATTTTCCTACAAATTCATGAATTATTAAGACAATTAAAATTCCTTTCTTGGAATAAATAAATCCACCAGGATGACTGAACTTGTTACACTCTAACCATGTCTGCAAATCAACACCAATGAATCAGGGAGCCGGAGGGACCAGGCTCATCTTCCCTGGGCAATGAACTTGCTCTCTCCAAAACCACAGCTCTGGTGGTATGTGACCTTTGGCGGTTTGTAAAACGTTCTTCAAAATAGCACTTTGTCTCTTCCTGGCAAAGAAGCTTGGTGCTGAGTCTGAACTCTAAGGATCCCGGGAGAGGAGAGAGAGTTCATCTGACTTAAAAAGCCCAAGGAAAGCAATCTGTCCCTGCAGGTCATCCGCCGCGGGGTCACATGCTGGGTGTGAGACTCTGTTCAGCAAAGTCAGCCTTTCAGATTCTCCCATCTGTCCCATAGTCATCATAACCCTGGGTCCGAGAGCAAAGCCCTGACCAACGGTGCCCTATTTGTAAGCAGTGCTTCCAGCAAAGTTCCCACATGTCCCTTAGGATATTTCTTAAAAGCAGCAGGATGACCTTGAGCCTCCCTGGAGACCCCACTTGGTGATACAGAGCTAATGAGCCCTTCCTGCCTAGGGCTTTCTCCCTAAACCACACCGAATCACCCCATGGCCCCGGAGTCAGTTCCAACCCAGGAGTTAGAGAGGACTGCTCCATGGGGGTGTGTGGCACTGTAGGAGCCCTGGATTGTAAGGTCAGCTTGAACCTCAAGATCGGTGATTCAAACTCCCCAGGTGCTCCTCAGAACCCCTACACAGGGTCACTGTGAGTCACAACTGACTGCACTCCACTCCCCAACAACAATCTTTACTGAAGTGGATGACCAGACCTTTCCTCTGTGGTACTGCTGGGTAGGTTCAAACCATCAACCTGTTAAGTCAGTCAAAACACACTGCAGTCAAGTCGATTCCGATTCATAGTGACCCTCCAGGGCAGAGCAGAACTACCCACAAAGGGTTTCCAAGGAAGGGTCTCTGAGAGTCAGAACCACCTTACCAACACCTTTATAGAAGCACACGGCCTCATCCTTCTCCCTCACAGGGTCTAGTAGTCCTAAGTACCAACCATTCAGTTAGTAACCACGTGTTTATGTACTGCCTTAGTCTCACCAAAACCAAACCCGGTGCTGTCGAATCGATTTCAATTCATAGCAGCCCTATACAGGGTTTCATAGACTATAAACCTTTATGGGAGCACAGTCTGTCTCATCCTTCTCCTGAGGAGGGGATGTTGGGTTTGAATGGCCGACCTGGTAGTTAGCAGTCCAATGCCTAACCCACAGAGCCACCAGGGTTCTGGGTGCAAACCATTTGTGCCACCAAGAGACCTCTATACCATAGCCACTGCTGGCGTCAAAGCAGCCTGGTGGCCTCACGTATGCCGTGGATTTACAGGGTCCCTGTACTTCTGGGATTCAGTAGGTGAGGAGCCTGAGACAGGGTGAACGCTCAGGACTAGGCCCACATAGGCTGTACACCTGCAAGTTCAAAGGTCAACAAAGGTGAGGCAAGGAGCGCTTGTGGAATGGGGGTCCTCCAAGCGGGTTCACAGCAGTCCGTACAAAGTACATCATGTTGGAGTCCTGGAGATGGGGCTTCAGTTCTAGCTCTCCTGAGCTCTGTCCCTGGCAAGCTCTTACCACCTCACCTACAAAGCAGTGCCCTCCCTAGTGGTTGTTGAAGATTATATAGGCATGTGCTTGAAACACACTTACTGCCCACAGAGGAACAGCCTCTGCTTTCTGCAGCAGAGCAGCTGTTTGAACTGTCGACTTTTGTGGTTAGCAGCCCAATGCTTAACCCATGGTGCCACCAGGGCTCCTCGAGAGGCAAGTTGTTAAGTGTTAGCTCTTCTCATGCTAGAATGGAAGCTCTGAGAGGGCCGCGCGAGCTTGGTATTCAGAGTATGCCTGGTATAGGATACATGTCAGACTAGGGGTTAGATGAGTGGATGACCTTGTTCTGGGTACAGGCAACAAGCTAATTCTTCCACTTCTAAGCCACAAGGATCAAGCTCCAGAGAGACCACTGTGGAGCACTGGTCCCTGCTTCAAGGAGAGGGAGCCAAGTGTGTGCAGAACAGGAGGGCCCTGCATTTCAGACGGGCCTGGAGCCGGGAACATGATCCACACAGGAGACAGAACCATGGCTGACTCCATGCTGCTGCCATTAGCAGTGGCAGGTTCTGAGTCTGAGCAGCAGACAGCAGGTGTGAGGTCCTAGGTAACACAACCAATGGTCTCATCAAGCAAATCTGAGCCTTTGCATTGCTCTGAAATAAATCCCCTTAATGGCACGCAGCAGCCTGGAACGCACAATGGAATGTGCCCCAAATCCAACCAAACCAAACCCACTGCCATGGAGCTGATCTGGAGGCCTAGTGAACTCATACAAGGTTGCCGGGACTAAGTCTCCACAAAGATTGTTGTTGTTAACTACTGTTGAGTTGGTTCCTACTCATAGCGACCCTATACAGGGTTTCCAGAGAGCAGCGGGTGGGTTTGGACCATCAACCTTGTGGTTTAACTAACTTTGCAGTCCAGTGTATTAATCCTGCAGCTCCCCACCAGGACTCCAAAGGAGAAAACAGCCTCATCTTTCTCCTACGGAGTGCTAGTGAGTTTTGAACTGCTGACCTCACATTTAGCAGCCCAATGCTTAAACCATAGTGCCACTGGGGTTCTGTGTGTGGGTGGATAATCAGAGACAGATATCGATTTGCTCTGCGCTCTGGGACCAGTCACATGACCTCAACATCCCTTTCCTTGACAGTTAAAGAAGAGACAGGAGTCGCCGGGTGGAGCACACTTAGAGGCTGGAAGTCTGAGTTTATCCAAAGGTGTCTTGAGAGGACAGTGAACTACTGACAAATCATCCTCGATACCCTTCTGGAGTACAGTTCTACTCTGACACCAAGGGGTCGTTCAGTCAGGACAGCCTTGATGACAATCGGTTTTAAAATGGAGCACGAATACCACTCACCTAGGAGGGAAGCAATAAATGTGGAAACTTCTATGCCAATGGCCCAACGAAACCCACTGCCATCCAGTTGAGCCCAACACAGTGACCCTACAGGGCAAGGAAGTGCCCTGTATGGTTTCTGAGGGAAATCTTTACAGACGCTGACTGCCTCAGCTTTCTCAGTGGAGGGGCTGCTGAGTTGGAACCACCAACCTTCTGATCAGCAGCTGAACACTTAACACACTGTGTCATCGGGGCGTCTGATGCCCATGTCAGTTCTCTGTGGGAGCGTCGTGGTTACGAGTCAGGCTGCCATCCTCAAGGTCAGCAGTTCCCAACTATCAGCTGTTCCTCGGAAGAAAGATGAGGCCTTCTGCTCCCAGTAAAGATTTACAGCCTCAGAAACCCTGTGCTGGGTCACTATGAGTTGGAACTGGCTCCACAGTACTTAACAACAACATTCAATTGTTAAATTTTGTAAAGCCAAATGCACCTAATCACATTCGTCAGAGCGTCCTGAAAGATCGCTTTTCCTTTACTAAAGGGGCAGGTTAAGCATCCTTCCACATTTCATACTAGCAGTGTGTTGTGTTGTTGTTACGTGCTGTCAAGTTGGTTCCGATTCAGTGATGCTCTGTCCAACAGATGGAAACACAGTGGGCTGGGCACCATCCTCAGTCTGCTTGTGTTTACTGCTGTCCTCACTGTGCCCATCAACTCACTGGGGGGCTTCCTCACCATATAAAAGGACTCTATTCAACTTACACTCAAAAGTATTTATTTGTACTCAACAAGCACTCACTGTGCTAAGCACTGAACAACCCCAAGAGTCAACTTAGAATCATTACATTTTAGGGGTGAATGCTGGAAGGCAAAACACCCCACCTAAACATATAAGGCAGGGACAGCTGGAATGCATCCAGACTTCTGGCCGCTGGTGACCTGCTGCGCTAATCATCTCTGTGCATATCCCAGAACGTTCTAGAACAAGTTCTTACACACAGTGGGCATTCAATCAACTGTGGTCAACACCCTGGCAGGCCAGGGCTCCATTTAATACTTTCAAGTACATCATATATGCGGGGCTTCGGAGCGTTTGCAGAAAAAATGGAATGAAAAGACGGAATTTTCCCTGGAACTTCGAAATGGTTGATTATTCTAAGGGGTGAAGACCTCCCGATTGGCTCCGGTGGGGTCACAGTGGGCGAGTTCATTTCCTTCAGCAACTTTCTGAAGCCCCTTCGAGAAAGAGGCTCTCGGCAAAGGAATAGATCACGAAGCGCCTGAAGGAGCTTGTGTGCCTGACACTCCACTTAAGCGAAACCGAGCGGCGAGGATGTAGGAGAAAGGCGCCCTGGTGGCGCCCTGGGTTAAACAAGCTGCCAACCACAAGGTTGATGGTTCGAAACCACCAGTCGCTCCGTAGGAGACCGATGCGGCAGTCAATTTCGGTAAAGACTTAAAGTGAGTCGGAACCTACTGAACGGCAGTGAGTTTGGTTTTGTTATGTTCTAAAAAGGGTCTTGGCGGCACTCAGCAGCTGCCCACAAGGTCGGAGGTTCAAACCCAACAAGCTCTCAAGGGGAGAAAGACGGCCTCCGGCACCCGGGGGCGGTTCTAGTTTGTTCTGTGGGGTCCCTGTGAGTCGGAACCGACTCACCAGTAAAGGTTATTTTTGGAGAATTATGTACCCGGGCCTGGAGGGCCTGGGGCTGGGAGGCTCCGAGCGGGGGTCTGGGGCTGCAGGGGCCCCTTACCCGGATGTGCGGCCCCTCCAGCAGCTTGAGCGTCAGCGCCTGCAGCAGGTCGGCGCGCAGGCGCACCAGGAAGCGCACCCCGCCGTCCAACTTGCTAACGTGATGGAAGAGGCCGCGGTAACGCGGGACGAGCGCGTAGCGCAGCCGGTCCTCGGCCTGCAGCAGCACGGCCGCCTCCCGCGACTGCTGGCGCAGCTGCAGCACGCCGGCACTCTGTTCGGCCACCTGGCCGTGATCCACGCCGAAGCCCTGCGCCAGGCGGCTCAGCAGCTCAGCCCGCTCGGCCACCTCGACCAGGCCGCCGTAGAAGCTAACGAAGTCCGCGCACTGACCCTCAGCCGGTGCTGGCGTCTTCTCGCGCAGCTCGTATACCGGCGTGGCCGGTACGGCGCGGCGCAACAGCTCGTCCATGGCCCGCTCCAGGGCGCCGGCCGCCGCCGCGGGCCTGCTAGATAGCCAGGCCCCGGGCGGCCGAGGCGGCCGCGAAGGGAACCGCAGCGAGAGGAAACGCCGCGCCGTGAGGCCCGGCCCAAGGCCTCGCATGGCGCCAGGCAACAGCTGCGAGGGGGCACGCCGTCCCGGGCGCCGCGGACCTCCGACTTCCGACTTCCGGCGTGCGCTCGCGTCCGTCCCATTGGCCGATCCGGGGGCCGGGCAGGGATACAGCCAATCGCAATGCGGAGCGTCGGGGCGGGGCGGGGCTTCCTCGAGCTGGCGGCGCGGGGCCAAGGGAGGCAAAGGTCCGCGTTCCGGGGCTGGTAGTCTGATCTGGGGCGCCCGACGCCGCCTCGTGACCCCTGGCCACCGGGTCACAGTGTCCCTGTAGCATTCCTCTGCTCTCAGACTGAGCTCCTCACACCCCAGTGTGCGGCAGCGTCCCCTGGGGTAGGTGTAGTTCGCAGGAGGAGCCCTGGTGAGGGTCTCGGCTGTACAGCCGTCAGGTAAGTGCCTGGTGACGTCCGTCGTTATTCATCGTGGAACCGAAGCCACAGTGACCTCCCACTTCACCCCCCACTACCAGGGCTATGTGTGTTGGTGAACATATGGAGAACTTGGACCCCTTATCCTTTGCTGGTGGAATGCAAAACTATGCTGTAGCTGCGGAGTAGGATTAGGGGGGAAAAAAAACCCCCAAACACACCCTGTTGCCATGGAGTTATTGAGACGCTGGAGGACAGGAGAACTGTCCTATAGGCTTTCTTTATGGATGTAGGCTGTTTCCTCTTTCTCCCGACGACCGTCTGGTGGGTTCAAACCACTGACCTTTGAGTTAGCAGTTGAGTGCTTAACCACTGTGCCACCAGGGCACCTAAAAACACCATTAAAAAAAAACAAAACCCACTGCCACTGAGTTGATTTTGACTAATAGCAACCCCATGTAAGGGTTTGGAGACTGTAAATCGTGATGGAAGCAGACTCATCCTTCTCCTGAATAGCAGTTGGTGGGTTTGAACCGCTAACCTTATGGTTCACAGCACATTGCTAAGCCCACTGCGCCACCAGCCTCTTTTTGAGTTAACTGTTAAGTACCGTGGAGTCGGTTCCTACTCACAGTGACCCTGTACAGGGTTTCCGAGGCTGCAGATCTTTACGGGAGCAGAAAGCCTCATCTTTCTCTCGTGGAACAGCTGATAGTTTGGAACTGCTGATCTTGAGGTTAGCAGCCCGATTCGTAACCACTACGCTACCAGAGTTAACTGTGTGACCTAGCAATTCCACTCCCAAGTATAAGAACATATGTGTCCACATAAAAACCTATACATGAACATTCTACCAACTGATGAATGGCTAAACTGGTCTACCCATATAATACTGTGGTGCCGTGGGATAAGCACTGGACCACAGGGTCCAGTTGTACTGCAAGATTGACAGTTCAAATCCACCAGCTGTACCTTGGAAATTCTATACAGGGTTGCTATGGCACTTAACAATTCAGCCATTAAAAAGGAATAAAGTTCTGATGCATGCAGTGATGTGGATAAACCTTGGAAACATGCTAAAGTGACCAAAAAAAAAGTTATGAAAGGCTGTGTACTGTACAGTTCCATTTATATAAAACAATCAACACCCAAACAAACTCCATGCCGTCAAGTCCAACTCATTTGTTAACAACTCCTAGTTGCTCTGTAAATCTTTACAGAGGCCAAATGTTTTCTCCCCAGGAGTAGCTGGTGGCAATTCAGTGCGTATCCTACAGTACCATATGAGGACTGTATGAAACACCAGAATGAGTAAATCCACAGAGCTAGGAAGCTGAGGAGCAGTGGCCGGGGGCTGGAAGGACTGTCGTAGTTCTCTCGTTGTTGTTGTTAGGTGCCGTGGAGTCGGTTCTGACTCATAGCGACCCTGTCCAGGGTTTCCGAGGCTGTAAATCTTTACGGGAGCAGAAAACCTCATCTCAGCTGGTAGTTTCGAACTGCTGACCATGAGGTTCGCAGCCCGATTCGTAACCACTACGCTACCAGAGCGCCTTGTCCTAGATCTCTAGTGCTGTGTAAAAGAAATACTACAAGCGGGTGCTTCAACCAACAGGAATCTCTTCCCTCACTCTTCAGGAGGCTGAAAGTCCAAACTCCGGGCACCAGCTCTAGTGATAGGCTGTCTCTCTGTGTGCTTTGGGGAAAGGCTGTGTCTCCTTTTTAGCGTCTGTTCCTTAGTTCTGTGGTGATCTCCACAGGTCATCAATCTGCCCCAGTGTGTCCTTGCTTACTTCTGTGTTTAAGCTACTCTTATCTCAAAAGTGATTGTCTGAGCACACAGTCTTTGAAGTGTGGAATGGTAGGAAAAGCATTGGAGTGCTAAACCCTGGTAAGCATAGTGGGTTATGAGTTGAGCTGCTAACTGCAAAATGATCAGTTCGAATCTACCAGCCACTCTGCAGGAGAAAGAGGAGACTTTCTGCTCCCATAAAGATTTGGAACCTTATTCAGGGTCCCTATGAGTTGTAACCGATTAAACAGCACTGCACAATAATAACATGAAGCCAAGTAGGTTTAAGAATTCCTACTGAGACCTGGTGTGGCACTGTAGGCTAAGCACTGGACCCCACGGTTGGTTGAACCACAAGGTTGGCGGTTCAAATCCACCAGCTACTCCTCGGAAACCCTATACAGGGTCACTGAGTCGGAACCAGCTATATGGCACTTAACAACAACTACCCAGACCTGAAGATGCCTTCAGTTAAACCATACAAGCAAATTACACCTAAAGAAAAGGGTTCACAGAATCGAGCCTGTTGCTTGCAATAGAAGCCTCTTGGTGTTTCTCCTTAAACAAAGGACCCCTGACATTCCAAATGGATACCAGACACAAAGACCATAGAGCCAGTTAGGTGATAAGGAAGACTGTGCTCTGCTTTCCTGTTAACTGTCCTATTGCACATAGTTGTTGACTGGCCCCTGAGCCAGTCAGTGCTAGTCTGATTACAGAATGTCCGCCATTAGGACCCCCTTGGCTTCGGATGACCCTGGAATGTCTCAGAACCGTGTCTTCCAGGCCAAGTCCTAACCCTGCCCCTCTTAAATTATACAGCCCATTTCTGATGTTGTTAAGGGCTTCCAAGGAGTGACTGGTGAGTTTTGAACCAATGACTTTGCAGTTCATACTGACTTTGTGGTTCACTGCTTAGCCTACAACACTACACCAGGACTCTATCCATCTGACAGCTGAACAGCTCCCTGAATCATTTTGTTTAGGGAGACAGTGCTTTGAGAGTGATCTTCCTTCTCCTTGGACAACTAATGCAACTTTGCTGTGTTTGAAGTCACATGACTTTATCTTAACCAGAGGGCAATGAAACTTGAGTTTGGCAACACCCATACTGATAGAACCTTGTTAACAAAGAAAAGTCGATTCCCAGAGGGGATCAAACCTACCTGTACAGGGAGCTTCAAAAAGTTGGTGGAAACCTGAATTAAAAGATAATAAAATTTTTTTGCAAACCTTTTGGAGCCCCCTTGTATGGGGGTTATAGTTTGCATTCTGTATTTTGGGGGAGACACAATGTAATTCATAATGGGGTCCTGTTGTAGAGCAACTTCGTGAAGGTTCAGAGTAAAAGTAAAGGAGGTTTATTGAAGATGCATGGATGATCCACATTCAGAGTGAGATGGTAACTCCACCAGACAACGAGGGGGGAAAATGTTTAAAACACTTTTTTTGTTTTTGGTGGGGAGCAGGCAGGTAGGAGGAAAGAAAGGAGTCAAGACTTGGTTCACTGTCAGGGTTATGGTGAGGACTAGGGCTTGGACTAGTTTTTAGGGTTACAGTTATGTTTATTTTAATTTTATTTTTTCCTCTTCATTTGGAAGTGCTGTAGCAATATTACTCCCTTTTAAACATGTATGTGTTTTTTAGTGGTTGTTTCTCTGGTTTTTATTATAATTTCTCTGGATCTTTATTATAGTTCTCATCTTGCTGACTTCTGTATCAAAACTCTTTACAGGGTCGCTATGAGTAGGAACCAACTCAGCGGCGCTTAACAAAAACAACAACAACTGCAGTTTCTAGGTTGAGTCTAGGTGGCACTGTGAGTTAATGCAATGGACTGCAAAGTCGGTTTGAACTGCAAAGTCAGCAGTTGAAGCTCACCAGCTGCTCTTTGGGAACCCTACACAGAATCACTATGGGTTGGAACCAAACTGATGGCACATAACACGTCTCAGGTTGTCTGTTGTTGGTTCTCTGTCCAAAGAACTCCTTTCAGCATTAAAAAAAATTTTTTTTTTTTTTTTAAGATTGGTCTGGTTTTACAAATTCTTATAATTTATGCTTGTCTGAAAATGACTTAATTTTGCCGTCATATTTAATGGACAGTTTTGCTCGTTATATGCTTCTTGGTTGGTAATTTGTTTCTTTCAGAGTTTTACGTATGTTATACCATTGTCTTCTTGCCTGTGTGGTTTCTCCTGAGAAACCAGAGCTTAGCCTTATAGTTCTCCTTTGTAGGTAACTCTTGTAGGTAATTTTTTGCTTCCAGGCCTCTTTCCTTGCCTTGGTTTTCAGAAGTTTGATTACAGTATGTCTTAGTATTTTTCTCTTGGAGTTCATCCTGTTTAGAGTTCATTCAACTTCTTGAGTGGCTGTGTTCTCGTCTTTCATGATTTTAGATTTTAGGGATCTTTGCTTCCAACAGCTCTTGAACAATATTCTCCATGGGTCTTTGATGTCTCTTCCTGTTCTGGAATTCCTATTATTGTTGTTGTTATTAAGGGCCATGGAGTTGGTACTGTCATAGTGACCTTAAGCACAGCAGAACAAACCCTGCCTGGGCCTACACCAACCTCACAATCATTGCTACACCTGAGTCCATCACTGCCCCCACTGTGCCAATTCATCTTGTTGGGGGTCTTCCTCTTGTTCTCCGACCCTCCACTTTACCAAATATGATATCCTTCTCCAGTGACTGGTCCCTCCAGGGACAAGTCCTAAGTATGAGAGATGAAGTCTGGCCATCCTGGCTTCTAAGTAGCACTCTGTCTGTACTTCTTCCAACACAGATCTGTTTGTTCACTTTTGACAGTCCATGGTTCTTTTAATATTCT